TCGTGCACAATAAAACAACTTCGTTTTTGTGTGTGTTTCATAGATTGAAGATGTTTCGTACACAATAAAACAACTTCGTTTTTGTGTGTGTTTCATAGATTGAAGATATTTCGTGCACATTAAAACAATTTCGTTTATGTGTGTTTCATAGATTGAAGATGTTTCGTGCACAATAAAACAACTTCGTTTATGTGTGTTTCATAGATTGAAGATGTTTCGTGCACAATAAAACAACTTCGTTTGTGTGTGTTTCATAGATTGAAGATGTTTCGTGCACAATAAAACAACTTCGTTTTGGTGTGTGTTTCATAGATTGAAGATGTTTCGTGCACATTAAAACAACTTCGTTTTTGTGTGTGTTTCATAGATTGGAGATATTTCGTGCACATTAAAACAACTTAGTTTATATGTGTTTCAGAATTGGATCGGGATACCAGATGCGCCGCTAACAAAGTATAAAACAGAAAGGAATTAATCCTTTCAGAGACATTTTACACGTGAATACGCTTATTAAGGTGATCTTGTTTGTTTGAGAATGTCTATATAATAAACCAGATGCATTAGAATTAGTAAACGAGATATTTATGGTGGTTGTTCAAAATTATTGTTACATTTAGTATTCAGAATTTATTCTCTTTGTCTCAGAATTTTCTGGAAAAAAACAACAACACACTAATGTGTTGACCTATACTTTAAAGAGAGAGAGAGTAGTAGCTACAAAGTACATAAAGAAACTACCAATTTTAGCAAATATATATAACAAAAGTATTTTGAAAACTTCCCATTGTTCCATCAAACTTAGTTTATGCGTTACGTGTACAACCGTTCGTATAATTATCACCTAGTTTATGCGTTACGTATAGAACCGTTCATATAATTAACGACAAACTGACTGAATGCATATAACAGTTTGAAAGTTTTGTTTCTAGTCATTTGTTTTAGAAGGCAACTTAGGATTGAAGTCGGATAAAACTTCTACCTTGTGTCTCGCAGTTCAGATGTGGATGAGTAAAACTAGTTTAATCTAGTGGTTACAAAACGCTGACATGACTGGCATTGACAACGTGAACTTAGTAAATTATAGAACACCTGTACCTCTTTATACAACGTAGGAGTTTGACGTGATGTTGACACATTGATTAACTTAAACGGGCAAGCGATACCTAAGTCATTTAGGAATTTTTAAGTTACAAAGGAGTGTTGTAATTACTTACGACGGTGTTTATGGTGTTGAATGTCTTATTTGGATGCTGTTTTCTGTAGTTTGAATTCTAAGCGTTTGGTTGATATGCAAACACGAATAAAATTGTTGTAGTTATTGAAATTACAATGATTCAGCCATTTCCTTTTCCTGATTTGAATTCATAGGTATTCAACCACTATCTTATAGAACATTAAAACCGTGCTTGAAAAATATTGTTCTTTATCGTTGGTGATTTTTATATGGGCCCTTGAGCAGTGGAGCGAGCAGCCACCTACCAAGTTAATGCATTTTTCTGTTTGTTCTGTTCAATAATATACCAGCAATCAAACATGCCAAATTTAGTACTGAATACTTCGCAGATGTCAGGATATTTATACTTTATCATTGACCTTCATAAAATTGGGTAGATGATGATGGATTAATTCTGGCATACTTAGTGCAGTAGCGAATATTACGTTGGGTGAATTAATTAGACCTGGTATTGAATGACAACCCTTTAAAAGCTGTAAAAGGGATTGAATTACTGGTAATCTTGATAATTTTTTACAGTTAAGAACTAAAAAAAGGTATTTCATTCGCAAACGGTTCAAAACTCAATGCTCAATTATTTCTGTAGAGAGGGAGATCAGTTTAAAACAATTCTAGCTTGAAAAGTAAGAAAAGACAATTGAACTGATATAGGAATGACTTTTTGTAGTTATATTAGTACTGCTTGTAAGATGTAGTAGTTTTTCCGTTGAAGTGGCTGAAAGATATTTGATAGGAATACTCGAATACTTATCAAAGTTCGTGATAATATACAATATTTTGGGTATTTTACAAATTACCGTTTAAAATAATGAACCTCCCGATGTTGTTTTACTCAATGGATTTATTGTGTTGGCGTCTGGTATTATAATAACAGTGTTGTTCTAATATATATTTAACCTACAAGTTGGATTAGATTCAGACTTTAATTCAGAATTTTAACGTTAGAAATATCAAACACGTCCACTATACTGATTCAAGTTGGTAAATAAATTGTTTGTTGTTTGTTTGTTTTCATTTCCTTTACAAATATAGAATGTTTTAGTGTTCTTTGTTTTACTCCGAACAAATCTGATAAGTTTCTATTAAGTCCGAAAGTGTTGCCGGAATGAATCTCGTTTTCAATGTGCTATTCATAATTAATCCTGAATCTCGGCTAGACCACCCGTTGGAGTTGACAGCTGAAACTTGTTCAGTTGTTTTTAAGCACCCCTATTGACGCCCAGAAAAACTTCGGGTTCGGTAGACATTATCAAAAGCAATTCGTAGTTTTCTAAAATGGCGGATTTCCAATTAAGAAAATACCATATCTCGTGAACCTTTGCACGTAGGAAGGAAGAAGTTTTGAAGGTTAAGAAGAGCAACAGGAGTGTTTTTTCTAACCGTGAGATGAAAGAAGAGTGATCTGGAATAGAACATTATTTTGTTTAAAGAAATTGGTATTCTGTTATTTCGAAAATATCATTTTATTGAAAGAAGCCTAGCGGATCAAACTAAAATTAATTGAAAATTATTTTGCTTTTAATCCCGAAATTCGCAGAACTATTTTAATGAACTCAACAGCAATGAAATGAATGTCATGTATATTTCTTGGATAATTTACATATGTCTTTAAATTCCATTGGAATGTAAACAAAATACAGTGCACATTTTGTTTTTACAATCGATGTACGAACGCAATCAAAATTTCAGGAGGCAATTTTCCTAAACACCTGTCGTGTAGAAGGTATGCAACACTCTCACCGTTCATAATCATGTGGTATACGAGTCGTTCAAAATGTTGATACACTCTAGAACCAGAAAAGAATAAATAAACTTTCTGATGATGTGACATTTATGAATACAGCTGGAAGTTGATAGCAGCTGAGTGAGCGACGTTTGGCTTGCGTTTCTGTACACATGATATTTGTGGTTGTTGAAAGTTTTTTACTGGGTATTTTAGATGGTAAACTTTAACAAGATATTCTTCCATTTTGTCAGTTTTAGATTCTGAGGGTTTAGAGCTTGCTCCAAAAGATCAGCAACTATCTCTGTGTGCTTTATCCTCACAGTGCTAATTTAATTGCATTCATTTTGTATTTGAGCCTTTACCAAAATTACACACGTTCTAGTTTCGAATCATGTGAAAAGGGATGAATTTCATCTCAAGTTCCAATTCGGTTCCACAAGACCGCAAATATAATATAGAATCAAGTATCTCTCAAGCAACACGAGAACATTGGAGTCGTTGGAAAGAACAAAAATTCTGTTGATACCTTCTTTGACAGCCAAAAAAATGTAAGCAATGATGGAAAAAACAGCTTCTTCACAGAATACTGTCAAATCTGGGAGAGGTTGCTGTTTACTTCCGAAACATCTTGGATTCTGAACGATGTTTTCATCCCACCCAAAACACTTTTAGCCTGAGATACTTCTCAAAACTTTTTCAACCTGAGATACTTGTGATTTATTGATAAATGCTTC